TAGTATCTGAAAAGAAAATATATGAACTTCTGTTTTAGGAACAGCTTGCATACTTTACAAGAGGCCTGATGCATTTTCTTTGAGGAAAAAAAGTTCTGAATGTATTTTTTATCTGAAACTTTAGTCTTGGCTTATAGCGTATACTAGTGATAATCTAGTAGGCTAGAGCACTATGTTACATGGGATTTTTTTATGTTGTGATACTGGTTTAATATGCTCTGTCATTTTATTAATTTTAGGCATAAGGAAGAAAGTGAATTCACTATATTGGATGCATTAGTGGTAGTAATAATACTTGCCAGGCAGAACAGTCCTAGGCTGTGCTCTGCATGCCGCATCTGGTACTTTTGCTTTCACAGATACGGAGGTCATATGGTGCAAAAATGAGTTCAGTGCTAATATATGGGATTTCTTACAAAAGGTTATGTAAATTTCTTAGGAATTAAAAACAGTACAGTATGGGCTGCCAGCATACAGGAACATACCATTTATTAGATAAAGCTCCTTGCAATCCACTCCTCATTGTCCTAGAAATGAGGATATTTAACATAGTATGCAAACAGTATATACAGCTGAGGTTTCAGCTAGAAGATAAGTATCAACTCCAGATTTATTTTTTTTTAAAGCTTTTAAAACACCAACCATTTCATCACTCATTGACCCATGTTTTGCTATTCATAGCTAAAGAGCTATGGGTGCCCTCGGAAGGAATCAAAGGAGCCCATTTCCTGTTGACAGCTCTTCACTGCCACATGGAAAAGTGCCAAAGCAGTAAGTTTTATGGCAAAATATTCCCCCCCCAAAATCTTTTTAACTAGGGCTGCTAAGAACGAGACTAATGCAAATACTGCGAGGCTAACTACTAAGATGGAGAAAACAAATGAAGAGAAAAACCCAAACAAATGAAAGATGGAGTCTGAAGGATTTGTTAGGACACAGGAATGGCAGGTGTTTCTCAAAGCAAGACAGAGCTTTGCTGTTGCGTAGGACACTACAGATATTGACTGGGAGGTGGAAATCTTCTGATGGAGGTATGAATAGACAAATTCTATTACTGGCTATCATGCTTCATCAGATACCGTGAAAGCTTCTGAATTAGCCCAAACTAATAGGCAGTGGTTAGTGGCACTTCAGGTACAGGTTCTTTAAAGAAATGTTGTTGTTCATGATAGCAAAGACTTTGGAGATAAATTCTTTCCTCCCTTTCCTCATGCATTTTAGAACTGCAAAATAAGAGACCTCCATACCTCATTAAAATTGTTAATAACAAGGGAGCTCTTGACCATTTGTTATCTGTGGCATGCTAGACTGCAGTACTATATTTTGGAGGTAAAATAATAATTCCTATCAAATTGGACAGATTAAATAAACATGGGGGAATAACCAGGATGGGAACGATGAGGCCTGGGAAGATCAGATTACTGATTATGTTCACACTTCTGAAGACAGTCAGAGCAGAGGAAGGCACGTCCCTGTTTTTTGTGCTGAAACAGGAGAGAAACACTTATTTATAAATGCTATGCAAAGGAGCATACATTACTGTTATTCCCCCTTACATTCCCTATTTCAGGAAAGGAATAAAACATCTATTTGGAAATCAGGAAAAAGGCAACCCTACCTTCCAGTGACAGAGCTCTTCCTGAGCACCTGCTGGATCTAAAATTCTATTTCAGACACTTTCAAAGTTTTTATTCCATTTACAAAAAGTTTTAGGCATACTGGAAACTGGCATTCTTTTCCTGTTAACAAAGCCTACTTATTCCGACACTGTTTTAACAGATTTGCACTGAGAAAGAGAAAACCTTAGTAAAGGCCTTACTGATATACTGGTGTGTGGGTGTGGGTGTCTATATTTATATATAAAGGAATGTATATATGTAATATATACAAAATTATTCATAAGACTACATTTCTTAAGCTTTGAACTGAATTCATGTTTTGATAAAGAAAGCAAATTTTGTTTGATAATAGAATTACAGTTCTTGTTCTATCAGCATGTGAAAACAGAGCAGGAGAGGTGCACGTATACTGACAATGGAAAGATAGCAATGAAACTGACTGTTAGAGAGAGCAGGAAAGAGATTCAATTGGAGAAAATAGAATAGAAGCCAAAAAAGAGGCGGCAGAGACCTTTATTTGGCACACTCACTGTTGTACTCTTGCCAAAGGTGGTGGCTATTTTGATCACACCGTAGGTGAGATAGCAAAAACATGAAAAGGATACTAACCCAAGCTGATGGCAGACTGTCTCAAATGGGGAAGAAAATACAATTATCTATCACTGTAGGCAGTATCAACAACTTTTAATTAAGACAAATAGGCTTACCATCCCTTCTGCAGTGCTTCTGAGAGACGACATGCATTTAGGAATGGAAGCCTGGCTGGGTGTGGGGATGGGAACTGTCTGTCTAAATCATCTTTATGGGAATTTAGTCACCTGTGTATTGTAGGTGTCCAGACTGGCACAATTCTGTATGAGGAATCAGGTGCATGACCCTCAGCATCCTCTTGAATATCAGCAACAGCCATGATGAAGTGCTGACATATCCTACTGCTATCCTGTTGAGCTCAAAAAGGTGTGTGATACAGACTCTGCCAGCTGTCCCACTTTTGTACATTTCCTTTCTTGAAAGCCGTTCCCCTATGCTGTGTTTTAATAGGATACAACATAACATTCAGGTCGTCTCCTAAGGCATCACCTTACAGATTTCCACAAAACATCTATGTCTTGTTTCTGGATTCCTTGCATCTTTGCTTCTATCTCTCCTGAGGGCAGTGAACTAAACTTGACTGTGTATCAGCACTGAAACATGGAAACAACTTCTAGTCTCTAAAACTAGAGCCACAAAAAACACAGTCAAAACACAATCTTGCTGCTTGGCACAGGATGCAATGTAGAAGGAAGATGAATAACTGCCAATATAGCTTGAAGCATGGTGTGACCACAAAAATGCTACTATTTTGTAATTTCTCAGAAGGTGAAATTACCGACGATTCCAGTAGGGCAAACATACACAGCAGTATATGCGTGTGTGTGTGTGTGTGTGTGTGTGTGTGTGAAATGTCATATTAAAAAAATAAAAGCTTTGACAAACATTTCTATCAGCACATACAGTTTAGGACAGCTACTAAAATTGTAACTGCAGTCAGGGAGCATAAGATAAAAGACTGCTCCCTGGCTGAGACAAATCCAAAGCTGGAAAACCCTTGCTCCCCTTAACCTGAAACATTCCACTTCTTTGCAAGTGCAAGAATAACAACAAGGAAGAAGTAGATAAATGAAAAGCTATGTGTTATTATCATGTCTAGAATACAAAGTCTGATGCATCGATTCTAATCTAGTTACTTCTAAATGATCACTGTTATCAATCAAGAACTGAAATACACCGAGAAGCAGTAATTATTCCCTGTCACTGCCATAGTTATTTGCAGTGCTGATTTAAAGCTTTTTCCCCCCAGACCATGGGCAAAATTTTACATGAAGGTGACGCTATATTCAAAAAAGATAATAAGCAGCACTGATTCACAGCCTAGTTTGAGCTACAGCGTGCAGTGTTGCCCCAATACGTTGCTATCTTAGAGCTAACTGGCCCTGTAGTTAAGCTCAAGTTGGATCCAGAAGTTGGATGGTGTTCAAACTTCAAGATGTTTGTTGCTCTCAGTCTTCTCAGGACTCCTCCTAGCAGCTGACAGGCAATCTATTAGGATTCTACTATTAAACCTGAGAGGTAGTCACAGCTTGTTCTATTGGTAAGAGTTAGAACAGCTCAAAAGGAAGAGAGTGTCTCCCTATCTTTTTTTCTGGGAGAAGAGTTGACAGAAGCGGCCTTCAGGTATTGAAACGCAGAGAATGTTTTCAGGATATGGAAAGACAAGGTCTAAAGGTGTTGCCAGTTTTGACTCAAACTTTTCTTTAGCAAACACTGAGACAATTTATGGCTTCAGAATAGGATGATTATTCCCCAAAGGTGTGACATTCTGTTTTAAGCCAGGCAACATAAGTTGCATAAATACTGGTAAAGCTCAAGCAAAAAAGGTACAAAGGGCGCAAAGTATAACAGTTTATAGATCCTCTCAAGAGCAGAAGGAGTTGAAGCAAGCTTGAACTGTGGTTATGTTCGAATCACATGAAAGAGCAAACAGTCTCTACATACTGCATCTTTGTTAGAAACGGACGCTAAGCATACCATCACAACTTGATGTAAAATACTAGATCAAGGTAATTGTGTCATAGGAAAACAAACCCTACAAGAGACAATCAAAAGATAATTGCAAAGTGTGTATATGTGATTCTCTCCATTTTTAGAGCTGAGTTTAGTAGCTCAGTTGTAGTGCAACACATGACAGTAATAGCTAACACAGACTGTACCCTTTGAAACCAATTGCCTTTCCTGTAATTTGGAGAAGAATACTATTCGAGATCAGTTCAGCTCCTGAGAGACTATAAAATGATACTCCTCATTCCAGTAAGTGTTTGGCTGTATATAAAATTATTCTGAATATTCCATGGGAGCCATAGCAGGTTAGAGCTTATAGCAATGCCCTGTTACCCAAAGATTCTTTCTTTATCTATCCCCTTCACGGTCATGTTCAAGAAGATGAGGAATAGGTAGATGAAGTTTATTACAGCCTGAATGGAACTTACTGAAATAGGTAGTT